CCAGGCGCCGCGGGGCGGTGAGGCACGAGCCCGCGGAGGTCGCCAAGGCCCCGGCCCAATCAGAGGCTCCGGCCCGGAGGCCACGCCCCAGACAGCTACAGCCCCTCCCCGCCACCCGAGGGTCCAGGCAGAGGGGCGGAGTCAGGAGGCCCTCTCAACCACGCCCACTCCGAGGCCCCGCCCACATGCGGCCACACGCGGCCCGCGGCGGTACCTGCAGCTGCTCGGCGGTGAAGGACGTCCGCGCGCGCTTGGCCGGCTTGGGCTGACTGTCCTGTTCCGAGGGCACTGCCCCCTCCAGCGTGAGGCCGTTCCCTGGGGGCGACAGAAGTGGCTGACCACGCGTCCCCATCTCTTCTAGTGGCAGCCTGGAAAGGACGGGGGTGGGGGGAGCTGGTCCCTGGAAGTGTCAGGAGGGAATTGGCGGGGAGCGGGGATCCCAGGGTCCTAGTCCCTGAGCTCAGTCTTTTGGGGAAGGGGCTTCCACTTCTGAGCGTCTGCTCAGTACCAGACGGTACTCTTTCGGTGTGCCCTGTATGTCTCACAGCCCTGAGGATGGGTGACCTTATTCTCATGTTACAGCGGAGGATTTCTCAGTTTCTGAGGCTCAGAGAGAAGAAAGTCCCTGCCCAGGACACTTCGACTAGTATTCTGACAGCTGGCTGACTCTAGCGTCCCAAATTGGGTTCCCTCCTTGATAAACTGGTGAAACCAAAGGCTGGTGCAGATAGGAAGCAAGCAGGTTACAGAACTGTGATCCTAATTTTGTAAAAATGGATGGAAGCAAAACCGTTGGAAGGATATACACCAAAGTGTTAGTAGTGATTAACCCTGAGAAGTGCCATTATCTCAACTCTACTTCCATGGTTTCTGCAACTTTTGAAGTTTTTATGACGATCATATGTTGTTATCCTAGTTCTCTAAGGTTTAATTTTGTTAACTGGAGTATATGTTAGCTATTCTCTTTCCACCTACATTACTTTTTATAATCACACTAATTATATTCCCGTTTTATTTTTTAATACCTCATTTTTCTGAATACAAAGGCAATACAAGCTCCTTATCAAAAACTGATAAATTTCAGGTAAGCACAAAAAAAGAAAACAAAAATCTCCAGAAATTCCACCACTGTTTACAGTTTTTTTTTAATTAGGAAAAAACACTTCAAAAGAAAAGCCAAACAAACACTTCATAGAACAAAATCTGAGAAGATATGCACTAAAATGTGAGGGTGTTTGGAGTCATCTTTATTTTCTTCTTTTTGCTGAACTATCCTTTCTAAATTTTCTATAATGGACATATATGTGTGTTTAGGTTTAAAAAGTAAAGCAGTAGCCAAAACTGAGGGCTGCTCAGTAAAGGAGATCTGAGGCCTTAAGCCTTCAAGCTTCCTCGCATGGTAGGAGTCTGGAGCCAAGCCTGGCTGTGAGAGCTGGAGTGTAACTGGCAAGGCTCTGACTAGGGATGGTCCTGGTTGGTCCAGGTACAGAAGGAGCCTGGAGTCACTGATGGGTCACAGTGTGGAGGAACCTCTGACTCCTGGGCTTCCATCCCAGCTCCACTACTGACTTGCCCAGTCATTTGCAGGTAACTTCAAAGCACTCCAACTTCATTTGCTCCCCACCTAGACCCACTTAGCCATCATCCTGGCTGGAGAAAGTGATGGCCCTGGTGTGGCCATGGCCAGGAACATTCAGGGGAATTCCTGACTAGTCCTCAGGCTGGAAATTGAGGCAGCATGATTCATAACCCTCCTCAGAGGCACTGGGGATGGGGCAGACACTTAATAACTCAGCCCCCACAATCCCTGGGAGACATGGACCCTGTTCCTGGGCCTAAGTGTCTTGGAAAATCACAGTATCCAGAAGTGACTTAGGGATCTCTCTAGTCCAACATCCATCTTGAACACTAGGGAGACTGAGGCCCAGAGAGAAAAGGAAACTTCATATGTCAGCACAACAGGCCAGAAGCAAAACAGAAGCTCAGGTCTCCCGACTTAAAGGCCTTTCTCCTAACCATCCAGGATGGAAGCCCCACCCCCAAACTTCTGGCTTGGAGCTGCTGAGGTGGGAGTTGGGAGAACAGGGTCACATCATCTCCCCTAGACTGGCCCAAGCACGGTTCCAGGCAGCTGGTGGGGATGAGCCCCTAAGCCAATCAGAGCTCTCCAAAGGTGGAGTAGGCTGCCCCATTATGAGAATCATCTCTAGGGTTCATTGAGTGCCTCTTGGCTTTACAACACATCAACTCATCTGTCTTTGAGGTGTCTCATCATTACCCCCATTTTACAGATTAGGAAATGTAATTTGCAAGGACCAGCGGTGACTTCCTACTTTCCAGTAAATAAATGATGGAGCCCGAAGCGCAAGGTCCCTGGGCAGCCCCACCCTCAGGCTACCTCCAGGTGATGAAGGGGCGAGTGCCTCTGGAGAAGTGTGGGCAGTCCCTGAGATGCCAGGGTGGGGTGGGGTCACATAGGACAGGGGGCCCGAAATGCGGCCAGTTTCTGGGCGGGGCGGGTTGGGTACCGTTCTCGGCGGCCCTCTTGAGGTTCTCGATCATGGTGTCGTAGTGGATACGGCACAGCACCTTCTCCTCGACCAGGCCAAACTCCTCGCCCGTGGATAGCTGGCGCTTGCACGAGAAGCAGGCGAAACAGGCTAGGTGGTAGGCGTTGCCGCGCGCCCGCCGGACCCAGTCGCTGGCGTAGATCTGTCGGCCGCACCGTGCGCACTTGGTTCCAAATCGGCTGCAGGATACCGGGGCGGGGAAGGGCCGGAGGCGAGGCTCAGACTGGCCAATCAAACCCTAGTGGTCCAGCCGCACCCCAGTTCCTGAGGGCCTTCACTCAGCATTTCCCTTTGTCTGGATTCACACCCCTCCCCACACCCCCTGCCAAGTTCCACCTAGACGGTGAGCTGTTGGGTGGTTTTTATTTTCTTCTTGGTGCTTTTCTGAGTTTTCCATATTTTCTGTAACGATCACTTATATTTGTATATAACATTAACCTGCTCATTAAAATATATCATACAGGTTGGGGAAAATATATAATAATAGTAATAACTTAGGCAAATTTGTGAGCACTTACCACTTGCCCAGCAAGATTCTAAGTTTTATGTTGATAAGCCCAATTAATCTTCATTTTGAAGTTGAGAAAAATGGGGACCAGAGAGGTAAAGTAAGTTGCACAAGGTCACACAGCTTACAAGGATACAAACCCTAGCTAGTCTGACTCCAGAGATAAAGAAACTGTAACCAAGTTACAGAAAA